TCGGCTGCAGCTGATCTTCTGCAGACCCACTTTCACATACACACCTTTATTATGGAACCGGGGGGGGGGGGGGGGGGGGGGGGGGGGGGGGGTTGGGGGGGGGGGGGTGGGGGGGGGGGGGTGGGGGGGGGGGGGTGGGGGGGGGGGGGTGGGGGGGGGGGGGGGGGGGGGGGGGGGGGGGGGTGGGGGACATGCAGGGTTTATTTACAACAGACATGTCCCGCTCTGGATAAAGTTATATATTAAATTATATTAATGATAGAAACCTGCTGGTGAAATTTGTCCGGCTCGTCCTCAGCTGGCCTGGTTGGAAGTCGAGGCTGAGCTCAGCGTCGATGCCCAGCACCGAAGTAGTTGTTCATCTGACAATCTGAGAGAAACAGAGACAGAACAATCAAGGTAAAGTGAGAAATATATTTTAAAGTGTGCTTTCATTCTAAAAAAAACAGACAAAAAAATCAATTTGATATAAAAAAAAATACAAGAATAAAAAAAAAAAAAAAATGAATAAAATAAATAAATTAAAGTGGACCTATCATGCTATATTTGAATAATATAGTGTAGGGCCATACCTATATAAAACATGTCTGTGAAGTTTTTTTTTCAAAATACCAAACAGATCCTGCATTTTAGCCATGCCTCATTTCGCTCTATTTGCTCTTTTCCAGCCCTGTTTTTGCAAGGGCTGATTCTGTGAGAAGTCTTCTTCGCTGCTTTTGTGGCAGACTACAGCGCCACCTACAGGCCTGGCATATGTACTACAGCGTCTCCAGCGCTTTCGAACGGCAATGGCCGTGGCTGTCTCCTCCTGATTGGTGGAGTTGGCCCAATAGCCGTAGCGCCACCGTCCTGACGTCAGGACAGTGTTCAAATCTGGATCAGTTTTTATCAGATCCGTTGCAGCCCCTTTTTTAGAGATTTGGGTATGGAGGAAAATAGAGAGGGTTGTGTTTTCTGACACTTGTGCGGCTTTCACACCAGCGCTTTTCCCTTTCTAGCTCCTAGCGAGAGCTTTTCTGGTTCAGCTCGGGTTTCCCTTTCAGCTCCCGCTCTGTTCACACCCGCCCAGGAGCTGCCGAGAGATTTTCTCCCACAACAACGGGCCGGGGACTGCGTCGGGTCGACGATCGTGTTGCTTTAATCATACGAAGCCAGATTAAATTAAATAACGACTTCTCCAACCTTATACTTTCTCCAGAGTGCCGTGGTTCATTGTTTATTAATGTGTTTTCAGCGGCATTTACCGACCGCTGCAGTGCTGGCTGCTCTTCCACGGGAGTTTATTCTCCCGTTAGCTCCGGGTTAGCTCACACGGCTCTAAAGTATTCACTGTCTGACTGTCACACAAGCAGCTGATACATATCCCCAGTTCCCCTTAAGTGAATGTGTGTCAGTCTGAATTGACGCTGTTTGGCATCACAACGCTGTTATGAAAGTTTCTCTGGTAACATGGGTGATGTTAGCATAGCAACCGAAGCTAAACTGACTACTTGCTAAGCCGTTTCTACAGGCACTTTTTACCGGCGTATTTTTCATTATGATTCTACTTGTGATAGTCGGACATGACAACCTGTGCAGCCCATGTATTGATTCCATCCGATAGCTGCTATAAATAACAAACAAAACGTCTGCCTGCTCTCCACAATGATCAAATAACAGCGAACGGATGGTCAAGTAGGTTCCTCCTGCACGCCCGACGTAAGCGACGCCGCGTCATAGCTCCGAAGCTCTTGCCTCTGGACCGACAACTTTTTGGGAGCTGGAAGGTGAAACCGCAGTTCCGGAGCTATGACGCGCCGCCGCTGCGGTGGGTGAACAGGAAAAAACCGGCGCTTTCACAGGCTCTAGCTCCCAGCAGGAGCTGGAAAAGCGCCGGTGTGAAAGGGGCATTGGTGAGTTCCCTGGAACACCGGGGACACATATTCATGTATAAAAGACGTACAAAAGTGCATTTTGCATGATAGGTCCCCTTTAAATGAATTAAATGAATTAAACTATTCAAGCTTTAACCATTTTCAAAATTACAAACCAAATTAAAATGTAGTTTTCCTTTCAAAATAAAAATGTTTTTAATATAAATATTCACAGTCAAAGGGCTATATGTATTAAGTATATAACTTTAATAATGAATAAGGACCTTGGGGGGCTCCAGGAAGCTGTGAGCGTCCTCAGTGAGGTGCTGAGCGTCCAGCAGGATGGTCCATCGGTCCATCAGAACCTCCTCAGCCTCGTCCACAGACACCAGGATGTGAGGGGGGTCCTCCCCGCTGTAACCTGAGCCCCAACGAAGCACCCGGGCCAGGTCGTTACCTACAAGATTCAAGGCTTTGATTGTCATGTGTTCAGAGCTACAGTGTCGATATGACGATGAAGATCTGAGGTCACAGGCTCCTCCCACAGAGCAACACAATAACACAGATAGTGCAAGTAAATACAATAAAATAGAATAGAAGTAGTGCCATAAGAGTCTATATACAGTACAAGTGATACATAATTAGCACACACACACACACTTTTTTTTATGTTTAAACTTTAATCTCATTATTTCTGAGTTTTCTTTCTCGATAAATATGACTCTTTTTTTTGTTATTGAAGGTACTAAACTCTGTAGGTTTACGCCCTCACCTGTCCCCAGAGGAACGATGCCGATGGGGGGTTCCCTGCAGACCAGCTGTGTCTCACGGCCTCCAGGACCCCCAGCACCCAGCCGATGGTCCCGTCCCCCCGCAGACTAGCACCCGAAACCTGGGGACCTCTCTGACGTGGCAGGCTGCAGAAGAAGAAGAAGAAGAAGAAGAAGAGAAAAAAGAAAAGAAGAAAAGAAGAAGAAAAGAGAAAAGAAGAAGAAGAAGAAGAAGAAAGAAGAAGAATAAGAGAAGAAGAAAGATAAAGAAGAAGAAGAAAGAAGAAGTAAGAAGAAGAAGAAGAAGAAGAAGAAGAAGAAGAAGAAGAGATTTAATGACATATAACAGAAGAAGAGATGTCTGTAATCAAAGTCTGTACCTTCATGTTATGAATAATTGACTGTATGCAAAATGATATGATGACTATTTAAAGTGGACCTATCATGCTATATTATAATAATATAGTGTAGGACCATACCTATATAAGGCATATTTATACTTTTTTTTTCTTCAAAATACCAACAGATCATGCATTTTAGCCATGCCTCATTTTGCTCAATTTGACAATTTATAGCTCTGTTTTTGCAAGGGCTGATTCAGTGAGAACAGCACCATCTACAGGCCTGGCATATGTACTACAGCGTCTCCAGCGCTTTCGAACGGCAATGGCCGTGGCTGTCTCCTCCTGATTGGTGGAGTTGGCCCAATAGCCGTAGCGCCACCGTCCTGACGTCAGGACAGTGTTCAAATCTGGATCAGTTTTATATCAGATCTGTTGCAGCCCCTTTTTAGAGATTTGGGTATGGAGGAAAATAGAGAGGGTTGTGTTTTCTGACACTTGGTGAGTTCCCTGGAACACCGGGGACACATATTCATGTATAAAAGACGTACAAAAGTGCATTTTGCATGATAGGTCCCCTTTAAGTATATAATAATAATACGTTTATTTAGTATAGCACCTTTCACAGACATATAATTCACAAAGTTCTTCTCAAGAAAGAACACAAGTTAAAATGAAGACCACAGAAACATGAATACAATAACAACATGAGGCAGAAATTAAGATTAACATCAAAACAAAACACAGAGCACGTGGAGTCCCTAAAGGAACAGACAGAGCACGTGGAGACCCTAAAGGAACAGACACAGAGCACGTGGAGTCCCTAAAGGAACAGACACAGAGCACGTGGAGACCCTAAAGGAACAGACACAGAGCACGTGGAGTCCCTAAAGGAACAGACACAGAGCACGTGGAGACCCTAAAGGAACAGACAGAGCACGTGGAGACCCTAAAGGAACAGACAGAGCACGTGGAGACCCTAAAGGAACAGACACAGAGCACGTGGAGACCCTAAAGGAACAGACAGAGCACGTGGAGACCCTAAAGGAACAGACACAGAACACGTGGAGACCCTAAAGGAACAGACACAGAGCACGTGGAGACCCTAAAGGAACAGACACAGAGCATGTGGAGTCCCTAAAGGAACAGACACAGAGCACGTGGAGACCCTAAAGGAACAGACACAGAGCACGTGGAGTCCCTAAAGGAACAGACACAGGGCACGTGGAGACCCTAAAGGAACAGACACAGACACAGAGCACGTGGAGACCCTAAAGGAACAGACACAGAGCACGTGGAGTCCCTAAAGGAACAGACACAGAACACGTGGAGACCCTAAAGGAACAGACACAGAACACGTGGAGACCCTAAAGGAACAGAACACAGAACACGTCACACCACATCTCAAGTAGAAACTAAAGCCAATGTAAAAACAGTCTCAAGTCTCTCCAGGTAGATTTTCATCATAAACTAAACTAGTAATCTTAGAAGGTAAAACATAGTTAATAGGAACTAAATTACACTTATATTCTAGGGCTGTACCCGAATATCCTACTATTCGGTCGTTGGCCTACTATTCGGTTTTCAATTTCATTATTCGGATATTTGTTTATTTTTATCCTAAATGTATGCTATCAATAAAGGCGCATTGCCACATTCTTATATTATATTTATACTTTTTAATTGCACTGTTAAAATGCGGAAATATATACAATCTCAGCTTGGGCGCCTGACATCACTTTCACTCACAGCGCCACGAACGTCACGCTTCACTTCGCTTCACACACCTGAAAACAAAATGCTGAAGACTCCAGCTGTGTGGGACCATTTTAAATCTGACGACGATAAGACGAAGGCATTGTGCCAAATATGCAATATGAAACTGGCCTACCACGGTGGCACAACAACTATGAAAAGTCACCTGAATGCTGTAAGTAGTAGCTTAGCTGTTGTCCAGTTGCCATGATGAAGCTGCTTTATCCACTGTTCAAACAGTAACGTTACACATGATAGAAACGTACTTTGCTTGCGAACATTCACTGCTGATTACTACCGAATATCCGGAGCCCGAAAAATGGTATTCGGGACAGCCCTATTATATTTACATTTGTTTTATTTAAAGAAATGAAATGCATTGCGTAAATTCTTTGGACAAATATAGAGTGTGTTTGATTCAGGTGTGTTTGATTCAGGTGTGTTTGATTCAGGTGTGTTTGATTCAGGTGTGTTTGATCTCAGGGTGTTTGATTCAGGTGTGTTTGATCTCAGGTGTGTTTGATCTCAGGTGTGTTTGATCTCAGGTGTGTTTGATTCAAGGTGTGTTTGATCTCAGGTGTGTTTGATTCAGGTGTGTTTGATTCAGTGTGTGTTTGATCTCAGGTGTGTTTGATTCAGGTGTGTTTGATCTCAGGTGTGTTTGATTCAGGTGTGTTTGATCTCAGGTGTGTTTGATCTCAGGTGTGTTTGATCTCAGGTGTGTTTGATTCAGGTGTGTTTGATTCAGGTGTGTTTGATCTCAGGTGTGTTTGATTCAGGTGTGTTTGATTCAGGTGTGTTTGATCTCAGGTGTGTTTGATCTCAGGTGTGTTTGATCTCAGGTGTGTTTGATTCAGGTGTGTTTGATCTCAGGTGTGTTTGATCTCAGGTGTGTTTGATCTCAGGTGTGTTTGATCTCAGGTGTGTTTGATTCAGGTGTGTTTGATCTCAGGTGTGTTTGATCTCAGGTGTGTTTGATCTCAGGTGTGTTTGATTCAGGTGTGTTTGATCTCAGGTGTGTTTGATCTCAGGTGTGTTTGATTCAGATGTGTTTGATCTCAGGTGTGTTTGATCTCAGGTGTGTTTGATTCAGGTGTGTTTGATCTCAGGTGTGTTTGATCTCAGGTGTGTTTGATTCAGGTGTGGTTTTGAGTCTCAGGTGTGTTTGATCTCAGGTGTGTTTGATCTCAGGTGTGTTTGATTCAGGTGTGGTTTGATCTCAGTGTGTTTGATCTCAGGTGTGTTTGATCTCAGGTGTGTTTGATTCGGTTGTGTTTGATCTCAGGTGTGTTTGATTCAGATGTGTTTGATCTCAGGTGTGTTTGATCTCAGGTGTGTTTGATTCAGGTGTGTTTGATCTCAGGTGTGTTTGATCTCAGGTGTGTTTGATTCAGGTGTGTTTGATCTCAGGTGTGTTTGATCTCAGGTGTGTTTGATCTCAGGTGTGTTTGATCTCAGGTGTGTTTGATTCAGGTGTGTTTGATCTCAGGTGTGTTTGATCTCAGGTGTGTTTGATTCAGATGTGTTTGATCTCAGGTGTGTTTGATCTCAGGTGTGTTTGATTCAGGTGTGTTTGATCTCAGGTGTGTTTGATCTCAGGTGTGTTTGATTCAGGTGTGTTTGATCTCAGGTGTGTTTGATTCGGGTGTGTTTGATCTCAGGTGTGTTTGATCTCAGGTGTGTTTGATCTCAGGTGTGTTTGATTCGGGTGTGTTTGATTCGGGGTGCGTTTGTTTCTCTCACCCTGCCAGCGGGCCTCCGTTGGAGATGTCAAACACCTGGTGGGGGTTCAGGAGCTTCCTGAAGCCGTAGAGCAGATCTCTTCCTTTCAGACCTCCACTCCTCGGGTTCACAAACACCAGCAGAGGACAGACGTCCGGGGAGAGACAGTTCAGCTGAGAGAGGACAGGAAGAATTAAAGGTCTCCTATTAGGCAAAATCCACTTCTCCATGTCTCTTCTACATCAACATGTGTCCCCTCTTCTTCATGTCTCTTCTACATTAACATGTGTCCCCTCTTCTTCATGTCTCTTCTACATCAACATGTGTCCCCTCTTCTTCATGTCTCTTCTACATCAACATGTGTCCCCTCTTCTTCATGTCTCTTCTACATCAACATGTGTCCCCTCTTCTTCATGTCTCTTCTACATCAACATGTGTTCCCTCTTCTTCATGTCTCTTCTACATCAACATGTGTCCCCTCTTCTTCATGTCTCTTCTACATCAACATGTGTCCCCTCTTCTCCATGTCTCTTCTACATCAACATGTGTCCCCTCTTCTTCATGTCTCTTCTACATCAACATGTGTTCCCTCTTCTTCATGTCTCTTCTACATCAACATGTGTCCCCCTCTTCTTCATGTCTCTTCTACATCAACATGTGTCCCCTCTTCTTCATGTCTCTTCTACATCAACATGTGTCCCCCTCTTCTTCATGTCTCTTCTACATCAACATGTGTCCCCTCTTCTTCATGTCTCTTCTTCATCAACATGTGTCCCCCTCTTCTTCATGTCTCTTCTTCATCAACATGTGTCCCCTCTTCTTCATGTCTCTTCTTCATCAACATGTGTCCCCTCTGTGTAAAGAGACTCTGAAAGTTTCAGGAACAAAGATTCTCTCTCTTTTTGTCCTGATCAATTTCTTTAAAAACCTGTCTGAAAATGAGCTGATCAGATTTTGGCCACTTGATGATGTCATAATGATGTTTTGTCTTGTGTAACCATTAGCCAATCAGCAACCAAGGTACTGTATATAGTGTGTGTGGTGTGTGTGTGTGTGTGTGTGTGTGTGTGTGTGTGTGTGTGTGTGTGTGAAAGTGTGTGTGTGTGTGTGTGTGTATATGTGTGTGTGTGAGTGTATACGTGTGAGTGTATACGTGTGAGTGTATACGTGTGTATATGTGTGTATATGTGTGTGTGCGTGTGTGTGCGTCTGTGTGTGTGTGTGTGTGTGTGTGTGTGTGTGTGTGTGTGTGTGTGAAAGTGTGTGTGTGAAAGTGTGTGTGTGTGTGTGTGTATATGTGTGTGTGTGAGTGTATACGTGTGAGTGTATACGTGTGAGTGTGTGCGAGTGTATATGTGTGTATATGTGTGTGTGCGTGTGTGTGCGTCTGTGTGTGTGTGTGTGTGTGTGTGTGTGTGTGTGTGTGTGTGTGTGTGTGTGTGTGTGTGTGTGTGTGTGTGTGTGTGTCTCACCATGATCTCTGGGATCACCACAGAGCTCAGGTTCTTCTCGTTGACGCTCGTGTCTCTCGCCAGCATGAAGACCCGCTCGGCCTCAGAGAAACACGAGACCTGCAGCGCCACCGCGCCTGAAACACACAGGACACACTCCATGTACTTATACTTCAAGAGAGTACAAGTACACACTTCATGTACTTATACTTCAAGAGAGTAAAAGTACACACTTCATGTACTTATACTTCACAAGAGTATCTTGTTCTCAAGTTACTTTCTAATACTAATACTTGAACTTGATCCTCGATTTGAAAACTTGGATATGTCGTTATTATATAAAGTCAACAACGTTAGAAAAATGTTTTTAAAATATAAAAAAATTCTCAGCAAAAAAGTAACAAATCCCTGAAGAAGGTTTTAAAAAGTGACTAAAATAAAATGTTGAATAATCTTCAAATAGATGTGAGTCTAAAACAATCCTCTGCCGTCAGCGCAGGAATATAGGGTTACTAAAGGTGGAACACTCCTAAGATAAGTGTAATAATAATAATGATAATAATAATAATAATAATAACATGTATCTGACATACCAGCTGTAACTGAAACGTGGGCAGCATTTGAATGTGAACGCTATGAAGGAGGCTTTAAATGATTGGACTAAAGATGGAAGATGTTGTCAGAGCGGCTTAAGAACTGATCTCAGGTGCTTTCTCACAGATCCTTCAAAGCCCATCAGTGTCTCACCTTGGCTGGAGTAGAAGTGACTGAAGGAGACCAGGTGACCTGCAGACAGAGACAGAACGTCTTCATTAACACATCTCACCAAAAACAGACACAAACCAACAAGCTGGAGAGACACCAAAAAGAGACATTACATAACTACAAAGAGACCCAAAATACTACACTATTTCTAAAGTAGAGAAAGTGTCACGAAACCCACCGTTTTCTGATTCAAAGCTATTACTAAAAAACAGAAAACAAAAAAAAAAAACACTAAGAGACAAAAAAACAACAGTGGTCTAATGGATAGTGAGGTGGGCTGAAGATCGCAAGGTTGTGAGTTCAAATCCCGCCAGGAACCTCACCACTAGTGTGCCGTTGAGTAAGGCACTTAGCCCTCAGTTACTCCAGGGAGGATGTCCCTGTAATTGGTCATTGTAAGTCGCCTTGGATAAAAGCGTCAGCTAAATGAAATGTAATGTAATGCCTTCTATTTATAAAAGCCCTATATAAAATTAAGTGAATTTAACAAGTTGATTTTATGAGACTAATCTGTTTTTCACGAATTGTTTGAGGATTTTTCTCATTTTCAAATATCTCATATTTGTTGTAATAAAAAAGAAAAGCGCGGAGTTTCTCGTTAATGTTTTGCCTCTCTCTCTGTGTGTGTGTGTGTGTGTGTGTGTGTGTGTGTGTGTGTGTGTGTGTGTGTGTGTGTGTGTTGTGTGTGTGTGTGTGTGTGTGTGTGTGTGTGTGTGTGTGTGTGTGTGTGTGTGTGTGTGTGTGTGTGTCTCTCACTCTTGTTGGTCAGCTGCTCCTGGATCAGCCTCTCGTATTCCTCTCTGCTCAGCAGGGGGTCCAGGCCTCCGATCAGCAGACTCACCTGGACCCCCTGCTGAGCAGAGAGGACCCCCCCCTTCCTGTTCGGCACCGCCACCAACCGCGTCTGGTTCATCTGACGCAAAGACACCTGGGAAATAAAATACACCAATTCACCAATTCACCAATTAAACAAGTAACAAATTAAACAAGTAACAAATTATCAAATTATCAAATTAACAAATCAACAAATTAACAAATCATCAAATTAACAAATCAACAAATTAACAAATCAACAAATTATCAAATTAACAAATCATCAAATCAACAAATTAACAAATTATCAAATTAACAAATGAATCAATTAACCTCGTTAGTGTCACCTGTTCATGTCCATGTGTCTCATTAACCTTTATTTTATTTTAAATAAACAATGTGTGTGTTTTGTTTAATTTAAAACAAACCATGTGTTTTAACGAGCCTCACCTTCCTGATCTCCTGCAGCTTCTCCAGAATCTTCTCCTGAGGGGACAGCGTCTGTCTCTGGACTGCAGGGGGGACGGAGA